GACCACTTAGGAAAGTGACACATATCACACTATATAGTCCTATGGAAAGTGCCCTATATCACACGCGTATGAATAGGAATTTACTTTCCACCCGTGTACGAATATGCAACTTTCCGCAGCAAATACAATTATTGTTGATTATTTTTTTAAATACATTTTAATTATTATAATAATAACCTGGTTCTACATTTTTTGATGAAATTATTTTGTGGTCGTAGGAAAAATATTGTACATCACTTGTGTGAAAAGTAATTTTCCACACTGGTGTGATAGTCGCACTCGGCTTGTGCCTCGTGTGACAATATTTTCCACTCGTGTGAAAAATGTCACTTTCCACACACGTAATGTAATATACTATACTTGTTTCTTTCGACTTACTTCTGTTTTGAATGATTCCTACAAAACGGAAAGCACATAAAATGTTTGTAAATACGCAATGTTGCCACATTCACTGGCTCAAGATGATACGGAATTACTTTCAATACGTATATATAATTATATACCGCAAATACCTACCTAAGCGCCGCAAACGTCAAATTGTTGAACTACATATTGGAGTTTCGTATATTCCTGAACCAATAAAAAAGGGGGAATATCCGGCAATGTGTTGGGCGCGAAGATTTGAAAACATAATTTACAGATTCCTTTATTATGGAACTATTACAATCAAGTTTCACTTTAAGCATAGAGTTGGTATTAAATAATTTAACACAGCAAAACAAACTTGAACCAATATACTGGTTCAGGTTTGTGATGGTGGTTCAAGTTTGTTAACCCAAGTTACTACTTCTGGTTCAGGTTTGGATGGTTACCGTAAATATATATATATATATATATATATATATATATATATATATATATATATATATATATATATATATATATATATAAAAAAAAAAACAAATTAAAAAAACTGAAGTGTCCTGCTGACTTTGTTCCAACAAAGCACCCTGTATTATTTAAAAATAGCAATTTTTTTAGTAAAGTTTTACAATATTTCAAGAGTCTAAAAATATTCTAAAAATGGGGTGTGGTTTTTGAAAAAAGCTTTAAAAAAACCGAATTGCTCTGCTGGCTTCTTTCGAAGGTTAGCAAGCACCATGTATTTTTAAAAATATAATATTTCAAGTTGCTGTTTTTACAGAAAAAACTTTATAAAACAGAGGTGCTTTGCTGACTTCGTTCGAAGCTATAGAGCATTTTAAGTTTTGCAAAAAACGAGGAGCATAAAATTTTTGAAAAGGGTATAAAAATAGCCTATTCTTTGGTATCATAATTATTACTAGGTTCACTAACAAAATCTGTTTCTAGATTATTTTAACACTTGCTGCGATTACAAAAAATGTCTATATGTCAAAATTAGAAAAAAAATATTTATAGTAATAAAGGGCCTTATACACTGTTTATTATATGTAATATAAAAACAAAAAAGCATAATAAATATTACAAACCTTGACATGCAGCATATTGTGCACTAAAATTTTCATTTTTGTTAATTACAACAACAACATCAGAAGGTTTTTGCCGTACTTTATGTTTAGGTGTAATTTGTCTCCTTGTCTCTTATGGAAAAAGAAATTATCCCCATATTCTTGCTTGGCAGATCTAAAAATAAAACCTGAGATAAATACGTTTTACTTGCTCCATATAAACTGTAACTACCTACTATTAAAACAAAGTCTTACCTTTCTAACTTTTGTAAACTGAGTATTGTTAAAAAATGCAGTAATCATCTCGGTAATCATATTTTCGTTTACAATGGGTAAAACACTTGATTCAACTTTTATAAATCCAGCTGATTCATATTAATAATAAAATTAAACCTCGAATTAAACCAAAACCAGGGCTGGATACCAGCCCTGACCAAAACAAAAAACTAAGGTTAGGTGCTGTCAATTTTAATGTCACTTAGATGTGCGTTCACTTCGACATTCTGTGTGTCGGTTTGTTCGTTGGCTTGGTTTTGTATAACAAAAAAAACTTCGACACAAGATGATTGGTCTATTCCCGATGACGTATAATTTCAAATTTTAAATTTCAATTGGGCTTAATTTAAAAACTTTTGGCTTTTTTAACGAACTGACTATTTAGAATAACTTGTATAGCGACTAACTATTACAATATAATTTATAAAACAGCATATCTCACATGTGAACATGGCCCATTCTGGTTTAAAATAGCGAATATCCAATCAAGTCGTGTAACCACTGCTATATAGTGAGGGAAGTTGCTGGTTACAAATATTGCATGATAGGGCTGTATCTATTATTTATTTATTTATCTATCTGAGATTGGCATAGGTGCAATTTGGTAAAGTACAATGTTGTTACATGTCTTTGGAGCATATTTCATGTGATATTATTTCAAATTATACAAGTTATTGGATTAAATAATTATTGTGCGTTATTTTTTTGTTTAAAATTGAAGTTACAGATTGTTGTCTTCATTACATTAGTTATTTTTCTTCAAATTAAATAATTGGTAAGTACTATGATATACATTTATTTAGTTAATCAAATAAAATATTTGAATTTTTACAATCATTTAAAAGGGCGTTAAGTTAATAAACATTTAAAATGTATAAAATTAGTCGTTGAATAGTCCGGCCACGAGACAACTCTTATAATAAAATTTATATAAAATAACTTTGAGAATCGATATTTAGATGATTTAGGGTGATATTTAGGTTTTCATATTTAGGTTTTTAGTTTTATTTTTTTTATATGGCGAATTCCAACAATAATGTTCCATTAATTTGTAGAATAAATACTTATAGATGATTTACAGTTATTTGGAATCAGCATGGACGAAAATTCAGGAAAAACGATCACGAGGAGCTGTTTTATTTGCAAACAATCCAACCACGAGAATATTATATTATTTTCGATACTTAGGTAAGCCTTTCATTATATGGCCTTAAAATCACTATGCCAAACAGATTGTGTGAGAAAATGGTGGACATTTCTAGATTTTTTGTCAGCTTTTTGTTAAATAAATTATGTATAATTAATATGACAATCATATTCGACACTCAAGCCATTTGTTATATAGTCTTGGAATCACTTTTTCCAAGCATATGCCAAACGGTTTGTGTGAGAAAATTGTGGATATTTATAGATTTTCTTATCAGAATTTTGTTAAATAAATTATGTATAAATAATATGAAGACCATGTCCAACACTCAAGCATTTTTATATATGTATAGTCTTAGAATCACTTTTTCTAAGCATATGCCAAAAGGCTTGTGTGTGAAAATGGTGGAAATTTATAAACTTTTTTGTCAGTTTTTTGTTAAATAAATTATATATAATTAATATGATGACCATGTCCGACACTCAAGCCTTTTGTTATATAGTCTTAGAATCACTTTTTCTAAGCATATGTCAAACGGCTAGCGTGGGAAAATTGTGGCATTTTTCATACAATTTTCCTGCAACTTTTCGACGCATGCCTTCGTTTCGTCCACATCCAATACTCATGACAATTTTATTATTACGTCTAACACATTAATAATATTATATGGTTAAAAAGGCTTGCATGAAAAAATAACTCAAAAAATTTTGCGGTAATTTTTCCGACTCCAAAATGCACTTATCCATTCGCGCCTTTCAAGCCATTATGTTTTTCGGGCTAGTGACGATGTATGTATTCATACTTTCGACGGGCTTGTGTGGAAAAATCAGTTAAAATATAGATTTTTCTTTACAAGATTACGCCCTTATTTCAACCCTTTAGCCACTTGCAACATTAAAGCCTTTGGTTTTCTGAAGCCTAGTTCTATTAATTAATCATATATGTAGTGAAAATGGCTTGCGTGGAAAAATGAACAAAAAAACACCTTTTATTTCTGTTAAGGAAAATCGAATTTTCCATACGTTATCCCCAGGGGCCATTCGTAAATTTACTTTCATTCTACTCAAAATAGATGTACTTTTCAACCCTCTTCGAGGCTTGTATGCGAAAATGGGGCATCTAAATCAGTCACTATCTGACGGTGTATGACATCATTGTGCGATTGCAATGTTATTCTCAAAGGTCTTGAGAGATTTTCTTAATTATTCTGACCAAATCTAAATACTTTTATAGACCCCGTAGGAACATCATTATTAAGGAAGCTTAAATATTCTTCTGCATTATTTTTGTCTTGATCCGATTCTGGGAGTTTGATTATTAAATTATTTTTCCTTCTTTCTCTGTCAGTCATTTCAGATAATATGTCTTTCATATCAACTGAACTGTTAGTAGATGCTGTTTAAGTAGATATTTTACTTTGTATAGCTTTCACCTCATCTTTCAAGCTTTCAACTGATTGTTCTATTGCATTCTTTGAAACATCTTAAAAGACGCTTAAAATTTAGTTTATTAGCTAATCAATGAGAGCATTGCATTATGATTACTACTTTATACTTTTATTTTTATTACCATTTCTTAAATTTATTTTTAATACTTTTTTGTATTAAATTGCTATTGTTCTATATAAAATCAGTTCTGTAAATCAATTTTTATGTCTTCTAAATATTATTTTGTTTGTAAACAAATTACTTACTGTTTAGAGGTTAAGTGGAGTAGCTTAGCTAGACTTCACCTCTATATATTTTCATGTATTGTATATTACAATGCTAAATAAAGGCACTTTATTATTATTATTATTATTTTCCATCGAATCTAATTTTAGATTGACTTCTTGCATTTCAGTTTGTAAGTTTTGCATTTCATTTTCAAGAGAAGATTTTTTTTTTAATAATAACGGAACTTGCTTAAAAATCCCTCTGCATTCCTCACAAAATTAAATGACCACTCTGTTTTTGTAATTAAACTGCAATTCTGCAGCAATCACATATTATAAAGTCTTCATTGTCATACCACTGTTCAATAGAAAACAAATTACAAATTGGTGAATCAGAGATTTTTTGCCAAATCCTTATCATCTTTTCTTTTTACCTCTCGAAAAAACCCAACTGATAAATGTTTAACATTGAAAATATCGACTTAAATGCTCTATTAAATGTAATTCCAACTTCGAAAATTTTAAATGTGTTTGAATTAACTGGTTTATACTGGCCTTAATACCCTGTTGTCCAAATTACAAATTTTCTAGTTAACTATTTCCACAATAAAATGCTATTTTAGTAGAGCAACAATATAAACACACTTGGGCATAATAAATACAGATTAAAGTTTTATTTTAATTATATTTATTTCAGTGGAATATTTATTAATTACCTATTACAGTCGACTACATTCCGCACCATAATTTTAAGTAGGGAATGTACCAAGTGTGGCACATCATTGAAAAGGTATATTTAACATTCACAATGGACGTTTGTGGATCAAAAAAAATCCAAAAGCTAAAAGGGTAAATTATTACCAGTATTCATTTAAAATAAATGTTTGGGCTGCAACAATGAGAAACAATTTCATTGCATACTATATTTTTGAATAAAAAAGTGGTAGAATGAAAATTGTCCACAATGTTGGATTGGACGGGACACGAAGGATCCAATACAATTATCACCTACCTAGGTCACCTAACCAGACACCTTTAGATTTCATGTTATGGAATTATGTGAAACAAAGATTATATATCAAAAGTGCATACATTATAGAAGTATTAAGGAAAAATATAACAAATTCTATTAATGAACTACAAAATAACCTGGAACCACTTCAAAGAATAATGTTTTCACTAAGAAAAAGAAAAAACTTGCATATTCGTCAAAATGGACATTTTGAACATTTACAGGCTTACAGGCAAAACACACTAAGTCAGATGATTAAAAACCCGTCATTTAATGTATTTTTTTTATACAAAATAATGTTATTATGGACTTAATGAATAAGAAAATAATTTAAGAATAAGGTTATAATTCTTAGAGACTAGTGGATTTTACCAGCTAGAACGGAAAAAATCCAGTCGAATGATGTAAATAAGTCAAAAATAAAAAAAATTTAACTTAATGTGTTTGCTTGTAAACCGACGATTTATTATTCTAAAATATATCCGTTATTTTAATTTTTTCTATTAATAAACGTTTTACTCTAAAAAAAAATATCATGCTTTCTCGAATTTGACTTACTTTAAGGGGGGGGGGGGAAGGTAAGATTAATTCGAGCAAAAAAGGCACATTTTTGTGAATTTTTGACGACACAGTTAAAATTTGTTCATTTAAACTAACGGTATATTAAAGTATAACATTCAAAGAATATTGTCTCAAATTTTTATGTAGAAATATTAAAAAATATGGAAATGGTAGCAATTATTTGGATAAGTCTCGGAAAAAACTAGACGTGTGGTGCCCCTATTAACTCGGCGCTGGATCATCAGATATAAAAAAATCAAAGTTCTTTCGTTAGATCATCCTTTTCCCCAGGTAGGGAGGGTTTTTCGAAATTTCAATTTTTCACTTATTGGAAACGGTTTGAAGTAAAAAACACGATTCTTGCGAACAAAATAGACTAATTTATTATAAAAAAAATATTAAAAAATTGAAAAAACTCTTCAGCGTTACCTCGTAAATTATGTACAGAAATAGTGTTCAAAATTTCAAAAGGATAGGTGCAGTAGTTTTGAAGTTATGAGGGGGACCGACTTTGGAAACGTGAGTTGTGTGAAAAATGCTTTAAAGTTTTGAACACTAAAAAATGTATTGGCATTGCAAAATGGCCAATAGTTTCTGGAACCAATTTAGTATACTTAAATATATAAATTAAGACAAATTTTGAGAAGTTAAGATTTTTTATCTAAATTCTCGGGTTCTTTAGAAACGGGACTTTTTGCAGTCTAGTCGGGACATGAAGTTCAATAACGGTGACAGTCCCGATATATCGAGACGAATGGCAACCCTATGTATGAAGCGAGATTACTCAAACCACTGTATCTTCTTTAATTTTGCTCCTATTCATCTCAAATTTTCACACAATATTCTTGAAAGGTTCTCCATTCACAAAATCAAATATAAAAAAAATGCAAAAAAAAGAGTTTAAAACCGTTTCCCCCCCCCCCCTTAGATATAAGCAATCTGAAATTAAAACGCAAATTCTGACTAACAGTTTATATTTTCTAATATGTTTTTCAAAGAATTATCAAATATAAAAAAAGGGAAGTAATTGACCCTTTAACCCCTATTTACCCCTTCATAGACAGAAATATTTCGAAAAAATAATTTAATAATCTCTCAAAATTTAGTTAAATTCAATTAAAAAAATGAAAAATATTCAATAGTAAATACAAATCATGCAAAAAAAAAACTATTCAACAAAGATTTAAAACCACTCGACATAGTCATCAGTATCACATAATGATAGGAGAGATCTTATGCAAATTTGCTATTAGCTACGTTTCCCAGCTTAAATGCACATGTCAAACACCAAAATAAACCTAATAAAGTTCTTAAATTCTTACCTATAAACTTGTTATTAACTAAATCGACCAGTATTTGGGATGTCATTATAAGAACTTGATTCTTTTCATATTCAATATACCACTTGTCTCTAGGCCAAAAATCTAAATTCATGTCTCCCGAATATTTTCCGACTTGGAAAGGTGTTTGAGTAGTAATGTATGTAGCATGTTGGTCAACTAAAGCAACTGTATTTACTAATATTATGGAAATTTTTCCCCCATTGCTATAAGATCTAAAAATATAAAGTATAATAATTTTTGCTCTTAATAAAAAATAGTGAAAATTAAAATTATCAGTCAGTTGAAAGAACGTTCACTAAAATTTAAGATCGGGTTAAACTTGGAGTAATGTGGAGTAATTTGAAGTTCACGGCATTGAGGCGGATGCCGATCTCAAGCTTTGTCAAAGTATATGAGAATCATAAATCTAAATGAACGTCCTAGGCCATTCGCACAGCATTGAGGCAGATGCAGATCTCAAGCTTTGTCAAAGTATATGAGACTCATAAATCTAAATGAACGTCTAGGGCCATTCGCACAGTCAGTGAAAATGTCATTTTAAGCCTGGCTTATTTCAATGACTAGTGGTGCAAATGGAACCTAAATAACTAATAATACGGGCAACAATTGTAATAATTTTTGTAAGACATGAAATTTGTGTAATACAAGCAGATCATCATATAAGGCCATGGGTATAAAAAGCCCTCCACATTTGATTTATTTACTATTCACTTTAATAAAGGCAAAGCCGGCCCTATAATAGGTTTGTCCTTGCCAGCACTGTATTATAGTCAATCAAAGTCTACTAATTGCTACAAAAAATGTATGAGTTTGACTTACCTCAACAAACTATCTCCCATTTGCTTCAAAACCAAAATAGCTATAAAAGTTTTACCAGCTCCTGTAGGTAAGAAAATAATTGTATTTTTCTCCAATGCTATTTTCATCAATTCAATTTGATAATTTCTAGGTATTAAATCCTCTTGATCAGACATTTTGTCTTACCAAGGCAAAAGAATGAAATTTATTGAATAGTACAAATGGGTGTGAACGATTCGGTGATTCCCACTAGATCAGGGCAAATTACACACGTCAGCAGTAATTATCAATTTTTTTCATCATAATAAACTATGAGCCGGTATCCTCGTCCAATGTGTCAAGATATAATAAGGATACCTACACATTCTACAACATTATATACTTCTAATAGTCTACTTCTATTCTCAGAAACAATTAACTTCTTTTAATTTACTTTTCTACAGTCAACTTTTGGTCAACTTTAAACTAAATAAAACAAATTTTTAGTTAAAAATTTTTAGGTTACGTGATTCCATTCCACTTCCATTCCCAAGCATTCCCACTCCACCACCACTGCTGCCAACCGGCCGGATGAAATTAATAGAAGTCCCTATGATCGAAAATTGTCGTGTTTTTTCTTAGATTAAAGAGACCGTGTTTTTACGAACCATGGCCCTGTCAAATGTAAAATTAATTAAATTCCCTTTACATAAAACAATATTTATGATTTAAAAACACGGCAGTATTATAAAGCCATGGCCATACAATTAATCTAAAAAGCCATAAAAACATGCATTGGCAGCACTGACCATCACGCAACTCAGGAGCGCGTTCAGGAAACACGCTCCGACCAAAAAGAGCGTAATCAATTTGCTCTTGGTTTGTTCAAGAACAATCGAATCACATACTTTGATTACTATACGAGGCATACGAGGCAAGAGAGAGGTCCGACACGCCCAACATAAAGCGCGGCCATTTTGAACCCTGTGACACAGTTTACAGCTAAAGAATCAGATCGCTCACTCTGCGTCGGCACTTTGGATCTCAATGTTTCAGTATATACACTGTGCAACTCGGATAATACAATATATGACAACCGCCTATAATAAAACAGTAGTCTTCTGCGTATCCTGAATTTGTATCCCTGGAGTGGATGTTATTTTGGAACTTTCAACTGGTCCGAGTGAGCTAACTGATTCTTTAGCAATAATCTGTGACTCAAAAAATAATATTCACTGACACTGACAGCCGCAAGCAAAATATCAGGTGCGTTTTAATCATCCGCTTCTGCTTCCGGAATTGTCGGTTTAGTCGTTTTAACTTGTCAAATTAAAACAAGAAAACCGACAATTCCGAAGCAGAAGCGGATGATTAAAACGCACCTATTAAAAATATGGCGCCAAGATGTAGGCAACACGTAATAAGGGTTCAAAATGGCGGAGTTTTCTATCTCCTTTTAAAAGGCACTCAGAAAGCTGCGCAGTGCGACCATTCTCCGTATAGTAAAAGAAAATCAAAGTATGTGATCGAAAACGAAAATTGCGTTGCGCTGATCTAGACATGGGTAACGCACTAAAATTCTTTGCGTTGATACACTGACTCACAGAACACTTACTCTTAGAACGGTAACTCCCATGTTAAAAAAGGATGATAGAGTTTTTAGCGGCACCTGGTGGACGTGGTTGATTTTTTTTCAATTAAGTCCTTGTCTGGTAAGAGGCCATATGAAAGAAGAGAAAATAATAAAAAGAAGAAGAGAAGAAAAGCGCGGGGCTACTCAAATTTGACAGTAAAAATTATCCGCATTAAAAACTGTTAGCCAAATTAAGATTTGTTCACACAAATTGCATTTTTGCTTTATTATAGCGAATATCGCTATAATAAAGCAAAAATGCAGTTTGTGTGAACAAATCTTAATTTGGCTAACAGTTTTTAGATAAAAAAAACAAGAATATTCAAAAAATAAATTTATTAAATATATATAATACAAATCCAATATTTAAAAAATGTAATGTATATGAAAATTGTATTATGTATGAAGTAGCTGGATGGCTGCTACATATTCCAGGATACAACACTGTCCATCATTTTGTGAAGAACTTTAGCTGTGAAAAAAGAAAGACAGTATAAGTACAATCTCATTAAAATAAATGTATTAATAAAAAATTATAAGTCCGAGGAATACTTTATTTTTTAATAAGTCCAACATCTACGATACAGCTTTGCAACCCCAAACGTCATGAAACACAAATTTCACAGTATATGCAGCATTTAGGAATCCACATCGGATGTAGTAAATCTTTGATCACGTGATTCAGTTTACGTAAATGTAATGGGACAGATGTGTCCGATTTAAAATAAACTATTTGAGGCGCTGTTCTCCACATCTCGGCAAATTGACTAAAATAATAATTTATAATACTCTTAATATTACCTTATTTTAATTATTGTGGCACTATACTGTATTTGCTCAACCAGAATGAGTTGCAATGATTGCAGAATAGAGGTCTGAGGATAATACTGAGCTGTTCGAGATTGGAACCAATCAATTCCATGTTGAATGTGCTTCAGTGGTTGACTGTTAAAAAATATTTGCTATTCTATTCCCTGCTTTTTATATTTAAAATTAAATCAGGAATCTCCAGAGTATATTTACAAAATATTTTAAGTTATAATCAGGATGTTCATGAACCTAAACAGGTAACAAGAAAAATGTACACAAAATTCAGTGTTTTTTAAAGGTGTACAGGCTTTTAATAATTTGCCTGAGGATATTAAATGTTCTTCAAATGTGGCAATATTTAAAATAAAACTGCATGAATACCTGTTCACCTATTGACGTTTTTTTTTTTTCTCTTTCTTGTTCTTTTATTGTTTTGCATAGTTGACATGTAAGTGTACTGTATCTTATGTATTTTTTATTGCATTTTAAATGTATGTTGATTCTATATTTATGTATTTTTTATATTTTAAACGTGAAGATGTATTGACATGTAAAAAATAGTTTTTTTGACTAAATAAACGTTTTATATATAGGTATGTGGATAAAAAACCGCTCGAGATGTAAAAAATGCATCTGATGTGGATTCTCAAACACAGCAATAAGTATAAAATAAATAAGTACTAACTTTCCTTCTCGAAAAGAAGTCCAACATATATTATTAGTCTGCTTCTTCTTCTACGATACAGCTTTGCAACCCCAAATGTCATGAAACAGAAAATACACAGTATAAGTATAAAATAAATGAGTAGATTACTAACTTTCCTTCTCGAAAAGAAGTCCAACATATATTATTAGTCTGCTTCTTCTTCGAACCTTTACTTGAAGTAGAAGGTGTTTGATCAACATATTCAATTTCTACGTTATTTGAGGAAAGTCCATCCGCTACTCTTCCAGGAACTGCTAGTAGGAATAGCGTTGGAAATGCTTCAGGTGTTAGACCTCGACGAGAGCCAACTACTTTATACTTCTCTTCAAAATGTTTATGACATACTACAAAGGTGGTTCTGGTAAAGGATCCTGAGGTGCGAATTTCATAATTTTAGCATTAATATATTGAAGTAACTTACTTTTTATAATATTTTAACTGAAATTAAATATGGAATAATACGTTTCATTTGCTAGTTTTATTTATATTATAATAAAATGTAATATTTTGACTGATTTAACCTAACTTTTCATCATTTCCTTCCATAAAACCTAAAATAAAGTGATTCATGAAATTGTCAGTTCTTGACACATAAGGTCCTCGAGTTTGCAACGTTGCCATACTATATTGTTGATTTTTATCACTGATAATTTCCAAGTTTAAGATTTCTGTTTGAATGAGAAGAAAATAATTTATAGGTGAAAATATAATGTGTTATGTGAGACTTTTCATTTCAATTTGAACTGTGTCCAGGCCGTTGGAGTCTATGCCGGTAGGCGTAGCCAGGTATGGATTAAAATTTTTTGGTGGCGGCGCAGCCGCCACCCTACGAGAAGTCGTTTTTCCGTTTTGAGTGACAGAAAATTTAAAAAAAGTTGTCTAGGTATTACATGTTAAGTGATTTAATTAATTTAATTTTGTATGTAGTTTTTTTGAGCTGCATTTTTAAAATTAATTTAGTTGATATATTAATTTTTTCATTTTATATACGATTATTACCGTACTTATCTTTTTGAACCAAACGAAAAATGTATGATTTTTGATTATAATGTGTTATGTGAGACTTTTCATTTCAATTTGAGCTGTGTCCAGGCCGTTGGAATCTATGCCGGTAGGCGTAGCCAGGTATGGATTAAAATTTTTTGGTGGCGGCGAAGCCGCCACGCTAGCGGAAGTCGTTGTTTCGTTTTGAGTGAAAGAAAATTTAAAAAAAAGTTGTCTAGGTATTACATGTTGAGTGATTTAATTAAATTCACTTTTTAATTTTGTATGTAGTTTTTTTGAGCTGCATTTTTAAAATTAATTTGGTTGATATATTAATTTTTGCATTTTATTTACGATTATTACCGTACTTATCTTTTTAAACCAAACGAAAAATTTATGATTATAAATTTAAATAATCCTTAAACTTATAATTTTATTAACAACTTGGCAACGTTTGTTATTTTTAAGACAGAAACGACAGATTATTACCTGTAAAATTGGGATTTTTAATTCAATTTTTTTCGAAAAATACTGCTTCATCCATATTTTTTTCAAAAATTTACTATAGAAACTAGTTACTTTTGAGTGTTAAATTTTTTTTTGTGAATTTCGCACCTCAGGATCCTTTACCGGACCCACAAAGGTGGAATAAATTTGTAGTCTTGTTTTATTAGGTTTGTTCTGGTTCTCAAAATGAAGACTGTTTTGAAACTGCGCCGGACCGTATGCGTAAAGGCAAAAAATCCCTGACTGTTTGAAATTCTTGGAAAACCAGAACACGTCATGAAGGTGTTTTGTTTATTGTTTATTATAATAATGAAGTTCCTTTTGAAAGCTCAGCTTCAAATAACATTTGCTTTGCATGTATATGTTTATCATTATCATCACATTTCAATGGAATAAGTAAAAACAGAATATTAAAAAATTAATGATTCTAAAATTGCTTTAATTTACAAATAAAACAAGAACAAGAGACATTCGTCCACATATAAATAAACAATTTGGGATTGTATACGTTTCGTATGGTCTAAAAAGCCAATACAATATTCGTAACACTTCAAAAACGCATGCGCGGTCAAAACAGTCCGAGTCGATCCACACTCCCAAGCATGAACACTTTTTGACTGTTTACAACAATCACGGATTATTTCGGATACGAAACCAGAACACTGGACTGAGAGATCCGAAGTAGTCCCAGAAAAACCAGAACACTTTTTATCTACTGCGCATGAGCCCGACAGTTGTGGATCGTTATTTCTCAAAACCAGAACAGACCTATTATTAAATCTTGGACAACGAACAGCAAGTGCACAAATATCAAATAAATCGGGTGAATTCGTAGGGTGAGGCAGGCGATGCATCCAGGGGTGGGAAACTGGTATGCGCAGGCCTGGGATCAATCAACCACGTCCGCGTGGCGCTGCAGTCGGGTGGTGGGGTAGGTGGTGGGAGTGTAAATGACAGGTGAATATTGATTTTTGTGGGGGTGTCATGGCGTCTTGGCTTAAACCAAACGTAAACTTTGTTTATTTATATTGGTGACTGTTGTATTCATTTGTTTTTTGTTTTCATTTCCAATTTGCTTAATTGATTTAGTTGGCCACTGTTAATAAGCTTGTTTTTCCATTATAAATTTGTGCTTTTTCCGCTGTTATTTTGTGGTTTTTCATAAAGATGCGTAATTATAGAAAATGTGTACCGAATTGCCTTGTTGTGGACAACAAGATGCATCGCCTGCCTCACCCTACGAATTCACCCGATTTATTTGATATTTGTGCACTTGCTGTTCGTTGTCCAAGATTTAATAATAAAACAAGACTACAAATTTATTCCACCTTTGTAGTATGTCATAAACATTTTGAAGAGAAGTATAAAGTAGTTGGCTCTCGTCGAGGTCTAACACCTGAAGCATTTCCAACGCTATTCCTACTAGCAGTTCCTGGAAGAGTAGCGGATGGACTTTCCTCAAATAACGTAGAAATTGAATATGTTGATCAAACACCTTCTACTTCAAGTAAAGGTTCGAAGAAGAAGCAGACTAATAATATATGTTGGACTTCTTTTCGAGAAGGAAAGTTAGTAATCTACTCATTTATTTTATACTTATACTGTGTATTTTCTGTTTCATGACATTTGGGGTTGCAAAGCTGTATCGTAGAAGAAGAAGCAGACTAATAATATATGTTGGACTTCTTTTCGAGAAGGAAAGTTAGTACTTATTTATTTTATACTTATTGCTGTGTTTGAGAATCCACATCAGATGCATTTTTTACATCTCGAGCGTTTTTTTATCCACATACCTATATATAAAACGTTTATTTAGTCAAAAAAAACTATTTTTTACATGTCAATACATCTTCACGTTTAAAATATAAAAAATACATAAATATAGAATCAACATACATTTAAAATGCAATAAAAAATACATAAGATACAGTACACTTACATGTCAACTATACAAAACAATAAAAGAACAAGAAAGAGAAAAAAAAAAAACGTCAATAGGTGAACAGGTATTCATGCAGTTTTATTTTAAATATTGCCACATTTGAAGAACATTTAATATCCTCAGGCAAATTATTAAAAGCCTGTACACCTTTAAAAAACACTGAATTTTGTGTACATTTTTCTTGTTACCTGTTTAGGTTCATGAACATCCTGATTATAACTTAAAATATTTTGTAAATATACTCTGGAGATTCCTGATTTAATTTTAAATATAAAAAGCAGGGAATAGAATAGCAAATATTTTTTAACAGTCAACCACTGAAGCACATTCAACATGGAATTGATTGGTTCCAATCTCGAACAGCTCAGTATTATCCTCAGACCTCTATTCTGCAACTTTTGCAATCATTGCAACTCATTCTGGTTGAGCAAATACAGTATAGTGCCACAATAATTAAAATAAGGTAATATTAAAGAGTATTATAAATTATTATTTTAGTCCATTTGCCGAGATGTGGAGAACAGCGCCTCAAATAGTTTATTTTAAATCGGACACATCTGTCCCATTACATTTACGTAAACTGAATCACGTGATCAAAGATTTACTACATCTCAGTTGCATCCGATGTGGATTCTTAAATGCTGCATATACTGTGAAATTTGTGTTTCATGACGTTTGGGGTTGCAAAGCTGTATCGTAGATGTTGGACTTATTAAAAAATAAAGTATTCCTCGGACTTATAATTTTTTATTAATACATTTATTTTATTATTATTTATGAGATTGTACTTATACTGTCTTTCTTTTGTCACAGCTAAAGTTCTTCACAAAATGATGGACAGTGTTGTATCCTGGAATATGTAGCAGCCATCCAGCTACTTCATACATAATACAATTTTCATATACATTACATTTTTTAAATATTGGATTTGTATTATATATATTCTTTAATAAATTTATTTTTTGAATATTCTTGTTTTTTTTTTATCTAAAAACTGTTAGCCAAATTAAGATTTGTTCACACAAACTGCATTTTTGCTTTATTATAGCGATATTCGCTATAATAAAGCAAAAATGCAATTTGTGTGAACAAATCTTAATTTGGCTAACAGTTTTTAATGCGGATAATTTTTACTGTCAAATTTGAATAGCCCCGCGCTTTTCTTCTTTTTATTATTTTCTCTTCTTTCATATGGCCTCTTACCAGACAAGGACTTAATTGAAAAAAAATCAACCACGTCCACCAGGTGCCGCTAAAAACTCTATCATCCTTTTTTAACATGGGAGTTACCGTTCTAAGAGTAAGTGTTCTGTGGATGCATCTTGTTGTCCACAACAAGGCAATTCGGTACACATTTTCTATAATTACGCATCTTTATGAAAAACCACAAAAAAACAGCGAAAAAAGCACAAATTTATAATGGAAAAACAAGCTTATTAACAGTGGCCAACTAAATCAATTAAGCAAATTGGAAATGAAAACAAAAAACAACTGAATACAACAGTCACCAATATAAATAAACAAACTTTACGTTTGGTTTAAGCCAAGACGCCATGACACCCCCACAAAAATCAATATTCACCTGTCATTTACACTCCCACCACCTACCCCACCACCCGACTGCAGCGCCACGCGGACGTGGTTGATTGATCCCAGGCCTGCGCATACCAGTTTCCCACCCCTGCACTGACCATAGACATGATCCTCTCATGGCCAGTGTTGCCAGTTTGTTACAATTGTAACAAATCTATTACATTTTTGAAGGGTTTATTACATTATTACATGTCCAATAAATCTATTACATTTTCACGATTGATAAACTTGAACCTAACCCTTGATTTTCTATGTTCCTAATATATTGTTTATTATTTCATACAACTAATACCATCTTAAACAGGTTTATTTGGTTAAGTTCATCCCAAACATATTTTCTTGAACATGCCCAAAGCGCTTAAAAAGTTTCTTATATCATTGGACCTTGCATTGGAGACAGAATTTCTTTTTTCTTCGTTTTCTTTACAAAAGATTTGTTTCAACCCCAGTACAGAACCGTTCTGAATTTATCTGCGACAAGTTAGAAGTTTATACTTTTTAAATTTGAATTTTGAGACCACAAATCAACCTAAATTTGAAATCTAAACAAACTAATTACTTTTATATTCACGCTAGCATAAACAAAGGATAAATTGACAAACTTGGCTTCACAGAAAACTTACTTTGCGGCATGGAACGACCACCTCATTCACATCTCATTTTAAATCGAGATGTAAAAAATGTAAAAGATGTACCTATCATCTCGGATAAACAAACGCAGATGTAGATGTGTCCGATGTGGATAAACAAACGCTCGAGATGTAAAAAAATGCATCGGATGTGGATTTTCAAATGCGACAAAAATCAATACAATTGCCGCGTTTGAGAATCCACATCGGATGCATTTTTTACATCTCGAGTGTTTTTTTATCTACATCGGACACATCTGTCCTATTACATTTACGTATACTAAATCACGTGATTAAAGATTTACTACATCTCAGATGAATCCGATGTGAATTCTCAAACGCAGCAATAGAATCTATTTTTTATGTATAGTTCATTTTAAGTTGACTAAAATTTCTATTACATTTTCTTGAAATTTATTACAATTTTGAGAGTTCATCTATTACATTCCTTCAGGGTACTCTGGCAACACTGCTCATGGCTCTCATATCTATGGCACTGACTCGCTGATACAGTAACAGCTGGTGTATCAACGCTCGTAACGCATACAACTGCGTTAACGCAATAACGCAACGCAGAACGCAGCGCTATTTTCGATATGGATAATATGTGTATATTTTATAGGTATAAAATAAAAATGGAAAGAAAAGGAATACCTAGCTAAAAGTTAGTGATCAAGTGGTTATTTTACTAGTAGGATAAATCGTAATGTATATGATACTTATAATACATGTACCTACCTCTATTTAACACAACACACCAGAGGATATATCCTACTTCTTTAACATGTCTTTAACCTTGTTATTTTTCATTCAACACCATAGAAAAATAAAAAGTTCAACACTACCTATGTTGCTATTTCCTTGATGTGGGACCATAGATAAATAAATAAAAAGTGTAGAACAATGGACAATGTATCCAGCAAGTAACTATGAAGATGAAGGAAAGTAAGGGTTTTTATTTCGAGATATTGGGGTGCCAAGCAATTAAATAAAACCATAGAATATTTGAAAGGATGGATGCCAAACAAGAACCTTTCGATCCGCATGTTGATACAATAAATCAAGAAATAATTGAATTTGAAGATACTAAGAGTGAACAATGCTCGCATTTACTTATAAAAATGAATGAATGTTCAGATTTGCCGATTAAAATTGAACAGTATTCAGAGTTGCCAATAAAAATTGATCATCCTCATTATGTGCACGAATATGAATACTTGCAAAATTTCCCTATAAATATTAAAGAGGAAAGTAACGGCAGTGATGTTAAAGTAACTGACTTGTACACGTGCGTCAGTGATATCAAGCAAGAAGTTTATGAATTTGTGCAGCCTAAAACTGAACTTTTGACTTTGAATACTCATTGTGATTTACCGACTTTAAAAAATGAATATATTGATCTTCCATGCTATTTGGATCAGCCAATTCAGACAAGCAACAATAAATATGATAGAGGGTTAAAAGGTACTACCACACATGTATCTAAGAAGAGAAAGGGGAGGTATCCTTGCCCTCTTTGTAAAAAAAGTAAGTGCATTTCTTCTTGAGTTATTAGTCACTTACTTTTTACCACTAATCTAAGCTAACTTACATCAACTAAGCTTAGTTGTATGTTCTTTTTGTGATTGTCAGAATCTTTCTTCCTCCCTTTCCGATGCTAAGGTACACAGATCTTAATGTCAACCATAAACCATAACAGAAATAGTATTCTATGCATCATATGAATGAACATATCCTATGAATTTATTATTTTTAGAGACATTAAAAGACTAGGTAACAGGGGGCAAGATCTTTTAGCTAGTCGAGTATACCTGTAAAAAGAAAAGGACTAATGTCATAACCAACAATAGCCCAAATTTTAATTTATTACCTACAGATTACAATAATAATCCAAGTACCCAGTAAAAGTTATCAAAACAATAAACAATATAGGTACACAAATTCCAAAAAATTCCAATGAAAATTCTAACAATTCCAATAAAAAATTCCTGTTCAAATTCTAGTTCCAATTATATTTATCATGTTATTTGAAATAACAATTGTTATTATGTTAATCAGCTCTTAAAAATAAGTGATTGAAGTCAAAAATTATGCAAAGGACCATGCACTTTTCTTATGCAAACTGGAGTAGGTACCATCAAAATGTCTGAATTTTTGATATGTTAAATTACTTGATGTCCATCAAAAGTGTCCATGGGCCCAATTGTATCCTATGACTAGATGTTGAGATACAGGGTGTTGAAGTTAGAAATCCCTTATTCTTTAAAATTGACACCATAAATCACCCTTAAATATTTTTGGAAGTTATTTGCTTATTCTGTGTAGTCAAAATACATACTTAACTACTATAATTAAAATATTGTCACTTACAGGGCGATTAATAATTCCGTAGATCCTTTTTAGTCAAAGTAGGTGTTTTCACCAAACAAAAATTGCTGAAATACCGAAAAAAAAATATCACCTTCAAAGTCTCTCAATATTTTGTATTATATAGTTCTTAATGTACTTGTTCAAAATTCTTATTTGTAAAATTAGATCCTATGACTAGTTTTCCAAATATAACGTAATATGTACCAAATATATGAATTTTAAACAATAAATATACTGACATAAGAGAGAAATACTGTATATTAAATATTTTGACATACTGCCAAAAATATTTCGTACAGGGTGATTGTGGTTGAATATGTAAGGTGAAAAATCAACCAAATGTTGAAATTGTTGGCAAAAAAATAAAATAATTGCCTTTTAACTTGCGAGTTGTTTATCAAAAAATCTTATTAGTTCACATATAGGGTCATACATTATTTCATTACAAAAAAAGTTCATTATATGGTAGGTCTAAGTAGGATCTAGGGAAATGAATAATGATCGGATTACATGTTTATTTTGACTGGATCATTAAATCTTTATATTGTATATTTATATCAGATTGGGATCTCCTTTCCGCGTCACCAATGAGGTAAAGCCAGAGATAAAGAAAAACACTGGTTATCTCTGGGTAAAGCCCTAATACATTTTGTTTTAAGTGTTAGCCTCTGTAGGACTATTGCACTACTTTTATAATAGGGTAGGTCAAAAATTACCAAAAATTCTGGCTACTGTGAAAAAATTGTGTTTTATGTTGTTTATACCCTATATAAAAATTAGTAAAAAATAAAATATTTAGCTGGGCCCTTAGGGGTAAGAAATTAAAAAATCAGCTTTGTGCAGCTCTTCCTTGATATAAAACTCAAGGGGTTTATGGCAGCTACAAGATAATACAACCGGTTTTAAATGTTAAATCAACCTAGAACTCACCACGAGGAGGTGGCCGCACCTCGAGTTGTCCATTTCTGGCTTCTATAACCCAACAAGTTTTAGTTATTAGTCTCGCTCTATTAGCTTCACTTGTTGATAATTGCCGTTGGTTTTGATGAAGCAAAAGTGGCATATAAGTAATTAATCCAAGTTCTTCTAATCTAGGAATAACATCTCTGTAGCCTCTATCTACTATTACTATATCTCCTTCTGTAATCCAGTTTCTAAATTCATTATTATCATTAGCCAATTGTTGCCGTAAGATTGCTGCATCATTATTAGATGCATCAGAAAAATAGGGACCATTGATTGATAAAATTTATCTGTCAGGAGGAGCTACTGTAATTTCTAGCTTAACTAAATGTTTCTTCTTAAAATAGCAATAGGACTGACGTAATATTCTAAAATTACTACTTTTTTCAATTGAGTTATATGTACAATCGACATAAAATATGGCCTTTGGAGTATCTGCTATAGGGTTATAAAGCGTGTTTATGAATTCAGGGACTTGATTTATGATATAATTTTCTCTGGTTATTGATCTAAATCCAATATTACTAGGTCCAAATCTTTGAAGTGGGACATATGGACATTAGATATGACTATACTAGTGACTTGTCGGGATGAATAATTAAAAAGTAATTTTATGAACTCATCTGACAATCCATGTCTTAGTTTAACAAGGAAAGCAAGTAAATCTTCTTAAGCAATGTTTCTTAAGTTACCATATTGTTCTATTGGTTCACAGAATTTATATAATTCTTGGAAATTCTCTTTAGAAATTGAAGTTAAATATTTAAATTTTTCTAAACTAAAAGTATTTATGTCTTACCAATTTTTTAAATTATTATTAGCAGTATCAGCCGCTCTTAAACTAGACAAAAATTACTGAATATTACGTAGGAGGAACGCAAACCAGCATGTAAATTAATCATTAGTAAACATGAATGATTTAGATGAATGTCACAAATCTTCAGATATTCGTGTACATAAATATTTGAAACTAAAAAAAATATTTGCTCTGCATACTGCTGATAGTTTTCTTACATTTAGTTGTGCGTTAAAAATTATACAACCACGAACTGAGTGGGGTGTTAAAACTTTAAGTCTTAGGCAATTGGGATCATTTTCAATATTTCTAAGTTCCTGTGTAATTGCGTGATAACAGTTTAAACATATTCTTACTTCTTGTAGATTATGAATAGCAGGATGTCCGACAGCTTGTGTTCTAAAATTAGCAACGTTAAGCACGTCTATATTATTATCCTCATCTAAACGAATAGTGAGTCGAAGTTGAAAGTGTCTATTGCAAACAACAGCTTATCCTATTTGCAAACGCCATACTGCAACAATATTTTTTTAAAAAACTAATAGAGAACGGTCTAATGCTCGCTTAAAATAATACAAACGTCATTTATTATAAAAGTCAACAATAGATGGATGTTCAATTATTCGGAAAATATTTAATCAATATATATAAATCAAATGTAAGCATGTTTATATATCCTATAAGGTTGTTGGCATATTCACCACTATTTAGATTTTACTAATAAAATTTATCGATCGTCTAAAACTCATAGATTACAAAATATACAGGGTAATCATATTTTGTGAAAATCTTCGGAAAAATTATATATTATCATAGTAGATATATAAAAAAGCAAAATTTCAGGCATGCAGGCAGTCTTAATCTTTATATTTTATCATTACGAATATATGATTCTTAACACGGTACCAGACCAAATTCGATTAAAAATGCCTTGGTTGTGTCGATAACAACAAGCTATAACACTTTACGTCAGAAGTAAAAAATTACGGAGTTACAGGATGTTAAAGATTATCTATATTTCCAAGTTGAAATATTTATGGCGTTTTAATCATTAAATACCTACTTAACAAAATGACTTGTATACCTTTGCATAATGACAATATAAATACAGGCCGGTGATTCGAAAATTACGAATATTTTATTACCCTGTATTCATATCATATTGTTTTGAGAAACCCTTGAAAAATCAAGAGAGGAACAGATAAGCTGTAAAAAATATCAACAATTGTTTCGTAAAAATTACAATAATATAGCTGCTCGACTTATGTTAAATATTTGAACGACCAATAACATGAAAATACTGTTTCTCATATGAATGTGTACCAATAAGTAGATATGACATTTTTACTTCATTGTATGCCTAACTATTACTCAATAGATTTCATAGAAGAAAACTCGCAATGAATATAAAATTAAGAAGACAGATAAGAAGTGGATAATTTCCCAGATTTTTCTGCTCATTGACTATTTCATTCTAAGGGTGCATTAAATGTTTTTAATTTCTGGTTATTCCAAAAACTATGTCAGTTTGATAAAGTTTGTTATTGCCTATTTAAAGTATTAATGTATGTATATTTATAATTTTTTTCAATAAAAAACTCACAAGCAATTTATTTTCTATTATTTGACAAATTTTTTATATATTGTTGATTTTTTCACCTTGCAAGTTCAACTGTAACCATCCTTTAGGGGATGCGACTTAAAACAAAATGTATTGGCGTGGAATGGAGCTCATAATCTTATTTAAATATACAATACAAAGAAGCACTTATGACAATACTCGAGCCAAATAAACCTGTAATCCGATCATAATTCATTTCTCCACATCCTACTTAGACCTACCATATAATCAACTTTTTTGTACCGGAATAAAGTATGACCCTGTATATGGACTTATAATATTTGTTGATGAACAACTCACAAGGTAATTATTTTCTATTCTTTGGGAACAATTTCAACATTCTGTTGATTTTTTATTTTACATATTCAACTGCGATCACTCTGTAAGTACGAATTTTTTTTCTGTTTCCAAATAATACAAGCGGTATATTCCTAATCTAACACAGTGTGTCAAAATATTTAATATGAGATATTTCTCTTGAAAATATCTACTTATGTCAGTTATATTTATTGTTTAAAATTCATTTATTTGGTATCTACTTGTTATAGTTATATTTGGAAAACTAGTCATAGGATCCAATTTTACCAATAAGAATTTTGAACGAGTACATCGAGTACTATACGATATCAAATATTGAGAGACTTTGACGGTGATATATTTTTTTGGTATTTCAGCTATTTCTGTTCGGTGGAAATACCTACTTTGACCAAAAAAGTTCTGCCGAATCATTAATCACCCTGTAAGGGACAATATTTTAATTATAGTAGTTAAGTATGTATTTTGACTACACATAATAGGCGAATAACTTCCAAAAATATTTAAGGGTGATTTATGGTGTCCATTTTAAAGAACTAGGGATTTCTAACTTCAACACCTTGTATCTCAAAATCTAGTCATAGGATACGATTGGGCCCATGGACACTTTTGATGGGGACACCAAGTTATTTATCATATCAAAAATTCAGACATTTTGACGGTACTCCCGTTTGCGTAAGAAAAGTGCGTGGTCCTTTGTTGATGAAAAATAAATTGTGAGTGCATGTAGAAATTGTAAAGTTTCGAGGAAATGGCAAAAAAAATGGTTTGGATTTGGAACTTTTTCAATATTCTTTATGGGAAAGAAATGACATTTGAGCAGTTGGATACCCTTCTTCAGTTAATATTCTTTATATTGTATTATATTTGTAATACTGTCATTGAAATAATGCGAAATAATGAAAAATGTGACATTATCATACTTATTTGGAGATTACAATCTGCCAGAGGCAATGTGGTCAAATGATGATTCTGGTAATTTAGTTAACTGTCCTCAAGGATCACATTCTTTATTATTGGCTCAACATTTTTCATTTTTAAATCTATTTCAAAAAAATACTATACCTAATAATAGAAATGTACTCTTAGATTTACTTTTTACAAATTTGATTGATTTGGAAGTAGTTTTATCAACTGATCCATTATTTGATGTTAGTATCCACCATGTAAGTTACTCAGTAACTTTTAATACCGGCGAGTCAAATTTAAATCATCTGAAATATACAGAATTCTACTATGACTTCCATAATGCCAATTACTTTGATTTTAACAATTACTTCGCAGCTATTGATTGGAAGAATACCTATACTGTGCTATAATGATATAAATATTGCCTCGAATGAGTTCTATTATATCATAAATATGGGTGTTGCACTTTTTGTCCCATTAAAAAGATTTGTCTCATCTAATTTCCCTAAATGGTTCAATGCGGAACTAAGATATCTCGTGAGGCAAAAAAAATCGGCTCATAAACAATACATGACAACTCATAATATAGAAGACTACAGATACGTTTCGGAATTGAGAGCGGCTTGTAAAAATCCTTCTAGAACATGTTACAATGACTATATTAGACAGGTAAACCACTCTTTATACAATAATCCCATATATTTTTGGACATTCATAAACAGTAAAAGGAAATGTATTAACTTACCTAACACAATGCACTATAATGGTAACCTAGCAGCAAATGGAGAACAAATTTTACTTTGGTACAGTATACACTGACTCTTCTCATATAAACAGGAATAATGATAGTAATTTGGCCACGTTTATTAACATTCCCTGTCCATTGTTTTTTATTGAGTTGATTTTTGAGAAAATATCTAAACTTCCTAATAAAAATAGTGTAGGACCAGACGGAATTCCAAATATATTTCTAAAAAACTGCATTTTTTCCCTTACACCGGCTATTTACATTATATTTAAGTAATCTATAGATACTGGTGTTTTCCCAGATATCTGGAAACACAGTTTTGTTGTCCTGATTTTTAAATCAGAAGAATGGACTGATGTAAATTATAGAAGAATCTTCTTTACCTAATTTAATGGACAGCTTAATTTTCACTGCAAGGAACTTTTGACCAATAACGAGCATGGCTTCTGTCAAAAAAAATCAACAGTTACAAATCTACTGTTATACGAACAAAATATATTTAAGGTTTTAGAAGCTAAAGGGCAAGTTGACTCAGTTTACACAGATTTCGCTAAAGCGTTTGACAGGGTTGATCATGAAATACTGTTAATGAAACTCGAGTCGTTTGGTATACCATCTCAGCTGGTGAAATGGTTTACAAGTTTTTTGACAGCTTTAAGTCAGCAAGTTAAAATCGGTAGTAATAGATCAAGATTAATTAGGGTTTCCCCAGGTGTTCCACAGGGCTCTCATTGATTACCACTTTTATTTAATATATTTATTAATGATATAATAGAATGCTTTAAACATTGTGAGTTCTTAATGTTTGTGGATGACCTAAATTTGTATAGATCAATTTACTCATCTAACGATCAAGCCTTCATTCAGAATGATCTCGACAACTTAGTTAAATGGTGCGACCATAATAACATACAGTTAAATGTTAATAAATGTTGCTTTGTAAGCTTTTTTAAAGGGAATAAAAAGTGCAACTCACAATATTACATTAATGATAAGCCACTATCTCGGGTTAACTCAGTCAAAGATTTGGGGTTTATTTTAGATGAACAATTAAGATTTATTGAACATATAAATTCAATCTCAATAAAATCATCCCAATGCTTAGGGTTAATATTGCGTAACTGTTCTGATTTCTCTCTAGAAGCCATAAAAAGAGTTTATCAAACATTGGTTGTACCTCAGTTGGAGTATGCTTCTATAATGTGATCGCCACAATATCATATACACTGTCTATAAGTGGAAAGAATACAAAATAAAGATACTGTGCCTTCAAATTAAATATTCAGGTAACCTATCACAATTATACTAGGATTTTAAATGAAATGAATATGAGCCGACTTAAGTACAGGAGACATATCATATTTGAATTTTATCTATAGATTATTAAATGATCTAGTCATATGCCTAGAACTCTTAGAAATGATTTCTTTCAATATTCCTAATAGGCAATTAAATATGTTCCATGTTCCATTTCACAATGCAAACTATGGCATGCATTTACCTATTGAAAGAACATTGAGGGTTAATAAATCAATTGAATCTTGAGGTACAGGCATTTCTTTTAATACATTTAAGGCAATCTGTACGAATATACTGGAGTAAAAATTAAATATTACAGACGGATTTACAATACATAAAATGCATTTATTAAAAATTTTTATTTAATTTTAACTTTTTTTTCCCACTTGTATTTTTTAATTTAATTTAATGTATAATTTACAATTATTTGTATCATTTATATGTGTTTTGCTTTGTAATGGGGTTGATCCCGTTTAAATAAAATAAAAAAAATAAAAATAAAATAAAAACTAGAACTGTGTACAATAGGGTGTGAATGTGTGGTGCGAGTTGAAGTCTTTGCCAACCCCTAGTTTCTTTAAATTTTTAGGTATTCATATTCAAGGTTTTAAATTAAGGATTAGATTGAAGCTCAATGAATGAATTAAGAATTCTTTAGTCGATGATTTTAAATTGTTCAAAATTTGTGAAAGATTGATTCAAGTTATGCACCAGAATATGGAAAAAATAAATAAATCGTCTATTTAAATTATAGATTTTACTCTTAATCGTGATCAATTTTAGCCACATTTTTACCTTATAGTTTACCGCGGTACCTAGGAAGTAAGTAGTTTTCTCATTATTTAAAGATTTTTTTATATTACAGATTGTTTTTCTTCTATATCAAGAATAAATCACATTTATGGACATTTTAGGAAACGCTCTACAATTCGTAAGTTTTTTTTTACAATTTATTTAATTAAAATCCTTAAAGCCACTTTACAGTTTGCAATTTTCCTTGCCAGCAAGTAAAATTATGGCAATTCGTATTGCAAGGTTGCACGCTAACGCCCTTTCGTTCGACTGTTGCAATTGCAGAAAATTGCGATGGATTGAACATTTATTGCTGCAAGTCGAATTGCACCTGTAATTCTGGTGAAAAATGGCGGAAATAAGCGTGCCAACCAATTTAAAAATCTAAAATATTCATTCCTAGCCAGAGATAAGGGACATAAAAATAGGAAACGCTCATAAGAAGCCCATGCTTAGCCACAACTAGCTTAACACAATTAATATCTGACCCACTATGTGGCGCTTTCATCGATATCAAACAACGCAGCGGGAAATTTAAAAACCTGATAATGAAGGTTGAATAAATATCGATTACACTCTTATCTTCTGGTAAATAAATTTAAACAATATAATTGCGCTAAATTATTTATTAAAAAGAATACTACAATTACAGTCTATTATCGATTAATTATTGTAAATCTATTCATGACAAATTTTAATTTTTGATCGTTATTTGTAACTTTAACATTTTTGGTCTTATTTTCCAAACGTATGATCAACTGTGTCTTATTTAAAAATGTTGAGTGCAAACTCAATAATGGGAATTCAGATATTTTTCTTTCTATATCAAATCTTCTCTCTAACGTTTTGAAACCATTTTCTTGTTCTGAAACAATAAATAATAAATATATACCTACTTTTTTGACAAAATTTGGTTCCAGTTTGTGTTTCTTACAGTGGCGGCTCGGGGTAATTTCCAATAATTTTAGTTCGGTTCAAAACTTTGTACAAGAGCCAATATCGCTGTTTTTTTTATTATTATTTGAGTTTGTATTAAGTGTAGTTATTATTATCAACATCATACTGTTTTCAAGCACTACAACTATTAATAAATTAATATTTTTAGTTAGTGTAATATTTGTTTTGTTTTTAATACATTGAAAACCATCTATAAACATTATTAGTTAGCAAACTGACTTTTCTTCATAATTTGAGATAATTTTTAAATATATATCAGTTATGTAGAAAACTTGTTATTGATTTCTGTGTTAAAAATATTATATGAAACTTTACCTACCATTTTTCAGTTTTTATTGTAAGTTTAATCATTTTCACAATTTGTCACAGATGTCAAATAAAAAATATATTTTTTAAATACCTTTTATTGGCAAATAAAATAACTAAAATGTTTTAAATGTTTATTTTATAAGGTCAGTCCCATCACAATACACAGTATTACACAGATATAAACTAGAATAAAGATATATAATGCCTGGAATTCTAAATGATACTCTTCGCAGTTTAACAGATCCCCTTAACCCCCATTTTCAACCAGATTGTTTTCACAATCAATAAGCCTCATCTCCTTATAGGGCTTGATTTTTACTAAAAATTTCATGTTGATATTTCTTTTCAGTTTTGATTTTTTTTTAATTTCAACCCCCCTTAAATTCCCCAATTTTAGAGCTTGATGTTTGCTAAATATTTCAAGTTGATATAATTTTTCGTTTTTCAGTTAGGATTTTTTTTTAATATTTTTCCCGTCCTTAACTCCCTAATATATTCATATTTTTTTCAGTATCAATAGGCTTTATCTTCTTATAAAGCTTCATTTTTACTAAAAAATTCATGTTGATATCGCTTTTCGTTTTTAATTTAGGATTTTTTTTTTTATTTCAACCCATCTTAACCCCCTATTTTTAATCAGATTTGTCAAAAATCAATAGGCTTTGTCCCCTTATAGAGTTTGATTTTTGCTTAAAATTTTCAAGTTTTTGACTTATCGTGCAGACAAAAAACGTGACATCGGACAGATGGACAAAGTAAACCTATAATACTCTTCACAGAATACTGTATGAAGAGTAGAAAAAAAATGTATGAGGTAAAATAAACAGTTTAAACAGGTCAACAATAATATTCAACTTCTTTTATCAAAGGATACTAAAAGTTTGAAATAGCAGCACATAATTGAACATTTAGAGATCTCTGGACTAAAATAGTGAGATACACATCGTAAAATGTTATCACACTTAATTCTCCGTATCACCCTTTCTAAGTTTATTTCACAGCACATTCCAAAGTATTCTTTCTCTCGCTACTGTCCTACCCTCATGGCAGACTTTTGCATGTACATGTTTACTAAAAAATAATGTTTTAATAAATAACAGAATAATAGTAATTTTGTCTAAATAGGTAATTCGACTTCATCTGTATTTTCAAATTATTGTTTAATTGTAGATAGTATATTAATGTTTTGATAGGGTCGACCAAAACTGTTTTGGTCGACCCTGTAGAAATAAATATTCAAATAATTACATCGTTGTAAAGACGATTAGAAGACCTTTCCAATGAGGTGTTTTGAGACACATGGTTGCATTTAAAAAAAATTGCCGATTACGTCACCACGGTAATACTGGTGACGTAATGTTCGTTACATCTACATCATGTGATGACGATTCAAAAATTAAAATTGACCTGTTTTTGGATTTTTTTCAAAAGTCGATTATTTTAGAAATAATGAATTTATTCCATACATTAGCGACATACTGTATGTTTTCTTTCGAACAAAAATGAAAATATAAGTAACGATCCTTTTTTTTATACATTTTAACTTCACGCTATTATTAAATGGTATTTTTTTATTTTGATAGAATAGGCTAATTCTTCAATGAAAACTTATTAGACTTAGGCAACTCCTCATACATTTTCCAGTAAATACTGTTGCCTGCCTATATTTTATTATTGATTTTTATCTATTATACATAATTTTCTTTAATTTAAGCGATAAAAATATATAATAATAATAAATTAATGTTTTACTTGTTTTACAAATCCATATACTTTTATTAAAACTAACATATATACTTTTTAATTACAAATTCTATTAAAAGTTGCATTTGTCAGTATACGCAGAAATAGTCCATTAGTATCAAAACGAATTGGCGATTGAATATCTATTGAATGTTTCTGATCTATTTTAATTTTTAGTTTTTTATAGGGTGGTAAGTTATTACTGTAAGATGAGAATGGTACGTAAAATGTTTTATTATAATTTATTGTCAAAGCCTTGTAATGGAAAAAATTGACAATTTTTGGAAAGTCTGCTTCAACGGTATTCTTTAGTGACTCCCAATTACTTGATTTGTAGAAAACTGCGGTATCGTCGGCAAAACTGACCACTTCCCCTGCGACGTGTTGTTCAAATAAGTCATTTATATATAAGTTAAATAGTAGTGGACCGAGTACTGTTCCTTGAGGAACACCACAGGTTATAATCTTAGGATCACTTAAGGTACCGTTAATATCGACTAATTGTGTTCTGTTATGAAGATAGCTCTTCATTAAATTGTAGGCTACGCCCCTGAAACCAATGTTTTCTATTGTTTCTAAAAGTTTTTGATGGTTAACAGTATCGAATGCTTTTGCGAGACCAACGAAGATGCAAAGTGACGGTTGTTTTTGGTCTATTGAATTATTGATTATTTTTGTCAATCTCGCAATAGCATCTGAAGTTGAGGTGTTTTCCTGAAATCCATACTGTTTGTTTGACATGACTTCATATTTATTTAAGAATGATAACATTCTCTTTTTAATTATTTTTTCAAAAAATTTTCCTATACTGGAAATTATTGAGATCGGTCGGTAATTAATTACTTCGAGCTTATCTCCTTTTTTATAAATGGGGATTATCATAGATTCTTTTAGAGAATCTGGAAATTTTCCATCACTAAAGGATTTATTTATTAGGAAGGTCAATACTGGTGATATTTCATTGTTTATTTCTTTGAGTATTTCAGACGTTATATTATCCAAACCAGGTTTTTTATTATTTTTAAGGCTGTTTATCGTTTCTGAGACTTCCTTACTGTTTGTATTTGATAAATATATACTTTTATTATTTTGTTTTATTCTAATGTTTAAGTTCGTCGGTGTAGATATTCTACTAGCCATTTTTTCCCCAATTGTTGTATAGTGTTCACAAAATGTATTTGTTATTAATTTAAGATCGTCAGTTTTGGATAGTTTTAATTCGATCAATTGTTACTTTGTTTTCTTTAGCATTTGACATTTCTTTAATACATTTCCAAAGATTTTTGCTTACGTTTTTATTAGTCTCAATTTTTTTATTAAAATATTCACGTTTAGCTGATTTTATTAGAGTATTTAAACGATTTCTATAATTTTTAAAAATGAGTATTTTGTTCCGTATAATCATTTTTCATTATTCTATATAATCTGTTTTTCTCTTTAATTGATTTTACAAGTCCAGAAGTGATCCATGATTTAATTTTTATTTCATTTCTTTTTAATTTTATCCGTTTAGTACAACTTTCAATATAAAATTTTAATTTATTTTTAAACAATGAAGTGCTTGTATTAATGTCTTTTCAATTGTAGACGTCAATCCAAGTTTCAAATTTAATTTTTTCTTTTAGGTGCGTTTTATTTAAAATTTGTTTAAATTGTCTACAGAATTTTTGTAATATTTGGTTATGAATAAAGTATATGCTATAGAAAAGTGATCTGTGATATTGGTTTCAATTATTGCTGGAATATTAATATATTTTTCTTTGGTTTTTATAAAAATATGATCTAAACATGATTTTTCGTTTCCTACGACCCTTGTATATTTATCTATGTAACTTATAAATCCTTCCTCGCTATTTAAGTAATCTTGTATATAATTATTGTCTTTATTTAAAATATCCAAATTTATATCTCCTGTTATAATGTGGATGTCAACGCTTTTGCTATTTTTTAAGTATGTCGATAAGTTATCTATGAATATTTTTTTCATTAGAGGGACAAGGTCTATATATACCATTAATTAACAAACATTTATTGTGGATTTTCACAATTATTTCAATATTTATTTCATCAAATTTGACGATATTAAAAACAGTATCGTAATTTTCTTTCGCAAATAAGACTACGCCATCACATTGGTTAAAGACACCTTCATTATAAAATAATTTGTACCCCGGCAATTTAAATAATGATGTATCAGTAAGTTTTCTTGTTTCAGTGAGAATTATAAAGTCAAAACTGTTACTTATCTGGCTTAAATTAATCTTTAATTCATCGAGGTTTTTACTGATACTTCTTATATTCATTTGATAAATTGATATACAATGTTTTTCAGAGTAATCCTCGGTTAGCTTGATATAGTCTGAGAGATTATTTACTACATTTGTGTTAATAAAATTGTAACTAAAATCTCTTAAATAATGATCCATTTAATAATAATGATAATTTCAAGTAAAATCAAATAAAATAATAGTTTAGTACTTACAATAAGATTAAATGGTTAGTAAAGATAAAACTACAAATATAATTTTTCTGGGTTAGCAATATTTTTAGTTTTTATTTTTCACTATTTAGTCTTGCCGACTGCCTTACCCCAATGTTTTCACCCAAGGTTCTTTTATTCTTCTCAGCTTTCGTGGTTGTGTTTGTGGGAAGTTGTATGTTCTTGCTAGTAGTTTGACTTATATAGTTGTTTTTATTATTAATAATATACTTCGTGGTCTTGACAATCGAGAGTCATTTTTGATTGTCTTTTCCTCCTGAATTTACTCGCGTATCGGGGACAACACTAATGATTTGTAGTGCGCATGTCATCTATGATTTTTATAACCTAACCTAAAAAAATAAATGCTTTCATGATTCCTACTTTTACTTTATTAAATTCAGTTTTCGAAATAAAAGTGCAGTTTTTTATCTGTCCATTTTGTGTAATTTATTTTAAAAGAAGATATCTAAAATCTATGCAGTGATTTTTTCCACCTACATATAATATTAGGTATTTTATATGCTCGAGTGTACTTTTTTTAGGTTTAGTTAAAAGTTAAATGAAAGACAGTGACTAGCAGTACATTGGATGTACGCGTTTATTTGTTACAAATCATTAGTGGTGTCCCCGATACGCGAGTCCTGAACTCGGAGCCGAGAAGACGAATTCAGATTAATCGAGATGATCCGTTGATATGATAAAGAGAACCAGAATATAATTTCTAAAGATGCCTTCTGAAAGTTTTTGGTTTTAAATTATAAAACATCAAAATATTCAAGTATAATTTATAGGGTTACCGGACAATTGCGCCCCGACAAAAGCGTCCCGACAAATTCGCTTCCCGACAAATGGGTGCTTGCGTGCCTGGAGGTGCGTGCGTGCGACGTGCATGCGTGCGTGCCTATGTGTGTATAGGTACTTAATTTACTAGTAAAAATTGGTATCCTGCAGACAGAAACATTTAGTAACTAATATTTCAAGTTCTAAATTTAGTGTCATGACAAACAGCGTTTAGAAAAGTGCAACAAGTTTCTCATTTGAAAACGGTATATTGCATACAATTTCAGTATCTGCGATAGTATTATCACATTGAGGGTGCTCTAATCCCACACATGAACTCACATAGATGGTTGAATCTAAACGTAAAATATTAAAAAAAATAGAAATATATTCCTAGCATTCTAATTAATTAAATGAGAAAAATTAAACTAATTTACCTAACTTGTGCGACCTGGAGCTGTCGCGGGTTGCTCCGCAAAAAAATATACATCAAATTAGAAAAAATAAAAAACCTAACTAATTTACCTAACCTGCGCGGCAGGAGCTATTTAAATTTTTCTTAAACGACTTTGACAATCTTGCATCCGATAAGTTCTATCTCGGGCCAAATCAGAATACATTCGTTATGACCATGTGAGTTCATCCGTATGTTAGGGTCTATCACCAATGACGATTTGCGTTCGTGTTGATACCTTTGAGACCATCTGAGATAAGGTTTACCGGCTTTTAAATGGACCTTGTGTCGAATATATTTGAAGTTTATTAAAATCATTATGTATAAATCCAGGTCAGTAAGCCTTTCAGCTGACAAATTAACATTTTTAACTTCTTTATCAAACGCAAATATAAAATGCCTCATCAAAATTAATTTAATTTTCGTTTTAGCTTCCAAGTCTTCTGGGAAAAAATTCATCAACGCTCAATTTAGAAGATGTTACGAAACTTGTTACTATTGTGGCCAATTTTTTTTTAGCATGTCTCAGTTTATGTCCCATTTTGTTGTTATACATTGTGTTAAGAAAGTCACAAAAATTTGTCAGAGAACTTTTGGACGAACCAATTATTGTAGGTGTAAAAATTGTTTTCATTATATGATGTTCAGACATCAGCCTACAGCAAATATTACACGTCAACCTATTAATAAGCTATTCCAGTGTGAATATTGTCCTAAAACGTTCCCAATCAAAAGAAATTTAAGTAATCATTTGAAAATACACACTAGAGAAAAACCGTTAAAGTCTGAAAAATGTTCGCAGCAGTTAAGCCATAATAGCAATTTGGTAACGCATTTAAGAATTTACCCTGAAGAAAAACAGTTCACTAGTGAAATATATCCGAAACAGTTTAACCATTATGACACTTTGAAAACGTACACTGGAAATAAACCGTTTAAATGTGAAATATGTTCCAAACAGTTTGGTCATAAATCTAATTTGAGGACACACTTAAAAATTCACACTGGCGAAAAACCATTTAAATGTGAAATATGTTCGAAACAATTTATCTGTAAAACCAATTTAGATGCACACTTAAAAATTCACTCAGGAGAAAGACCATTCAAGTGTGAACTATGTACAAAACAATTTAGGCAAAAATGCACTTTGGAAGTACACATAAAAACTCACACTGGAGAAAAACCGTTTAAATGTGAAATATGTTCCAAACAGTTTGGTCTTAAATCCAATTTGACAATACACTTAAGAACTCACACTGGGGAAAAACCGTACAAGTGTAAAATATGTTCAAAAAGCATTAGCCGTAAAAGGGGTTTAGAAGAGCATTTAAAAATTCACACAGGAGAAAAACCGTTTGAGTGTGAAATGTGTTTAAAACAGTTTAGACAGAAAAGCAGTTTGGAAATACACTTAAGAACTCACACGAGAGAAAAACCGTTCAAATGTGAAATATGTGCGTTATCATTTAGTAATAAATCAAATTTGAACGCCCACTTAAAAATTCACACTGCAGAAAAACCATTCAAGTGTGAAATCTGCTTAAGACAGTTTAGACAGAAAAGCAGTTTGGAAAGGCACTTAAGAATTCACACTGAAAGAAAACCGTTCAAGTGTGAAATATGTTTGAAACTGTTTAATTATTACGGCTCTTTGAAAACGCACTCAAGAATTCACACTGCAGACAAACCATTTAAATGTGAAATATGTTCCAAACACTTCCGTCATAAAAGCAGTTTAAAAGCGCACTTAAATTATCACACAGTAGAAAAACCATTTAAGTGTGAAATATGTTCGAAACAATTTAACTCTAAATCCAATTTTAAAACGCATTTAAAAATTCACTCTGGAGACAAACCCTTCAAGTGTGAAATATGTTCCAAACAGTTCACACGTAAAGGTACTTTGGAATCGCACTCAAGAATTCACACTGGACAAAAACCGTTCAAGTGTGAAATTTGTTCTAAACAGTTTAACCATTATCACACTTTGAAAACTCATTTAAGAATCCACACTGGAGAAAAACCGTTCAAATGTGAAATATGTTCGATACAATTTAGAAATAAATCCAATTTAAGAAAACACTTTAAAATTCACACTGTGGATAAACCGAAATAGAAAATACGTTGAAAAATAATAATAATAAGTGGTAAAAGCTATTTAATAATAATACATAATAAATACTTTATTACGCTCCAAAGCTATTACATTACCAATAAAAACTCTCAGGCCGGATATTTTGGAAATAAATAGATATATTTTATTTCTATAAAAGCCAATTTGCATAGCACTAAGGGCCAATTTCATAATCGAACCCTAAAGGCGGATTTAAACAAAGGAAGCTTCTATTTAAAGTTTACTTTAAATCATCCTTTAAAAATGTCATTTCATAACGTTTTTCCTAATTTACTTTTACTAAAACGTTAACAAAATTTTACCATGTTGATATTGCTGATCTGTGTTTAGTTCTAACATTTACCGGAATATTCGCCACTAAAATGTTAATTTTTCTATGAAATATTTTGTTCGGGTTTTTTCAAAGTAGGTGAAAAAGAAATTGAACGATTTGAAATTTAATTATTCTAGGAATTAATACCTGCAGTGTAGGACACCGGAAGCAGGGTTTAATGCTATGGGTAGTGGCGTAGCCACGGGGGGTTTTGGGTGTCAGAACCCCCATGGAACTCCTTCGCGTCGCCGTTTCCGTCATCGTATTGGCGCTGATTGCTATTAACGGTTTGTTTTTATTCACTTTTTTATCGTTTTATACAAAATTATTTGTTTTTATTTACTTTTTTAGTAAAAATAATTTAATCTGAAAAATTTCACTTTGTTGATAGAAACCCCCCCTCAAACCCCTCCCATGAAAATATTCTGGCTACGCCACTGGTTATGAGTAATCCTATTATCTATTCTAAGAACCCTTTTATCGAAAGTACGAACCGTAGAGTACCTATATCTAATTAAAAATCAATTAAAAATCATTGCCTTTAATCCATTTTACATTTTAGTTTGGGATTTCCGATATTTTAGTGTCCTATGGTGAAAAGGATTTCTCTGTAAAAATTAAAAGTTTAATTCTTTTGGTTGGTTCTTCGGATTTTAGGTGCTAGTAGAAACCTCTTTACATGTTATTTTAATGAAACTCATTTATTATTGAAAGCTTTCGGCACTTTATTATTCATTAGTTAAATTATTTTTTTTAAATATGTATTATCTTGACATTGTTTTAAGTATTTTTAGTATAAATAAAAATTTAACAATTGTCAAAAAATAAAATACTAAAAACACTTAAAACAATGTCAAGATAATACATATTTAAAATAAATAATAATAAAACTATGAATAAATATTACTGAAGAAGGCACTGAACAGTACCGAAAGCTTTAAATAATACATGAGTTTCATTAAAATAACATGTACTAGCACTCAAAATACCAAGAACCTACCAAAAGAATTGAGCAATAAGGTGCAAGAATTAGGGATGTGCTTGTAAAGTTCGAGCGCTCGCGATCAAGCTCGAAAAATTGCAGCTCGAGCACGCTACGACGCAGCTCCGAACAATACGAGCGCATTGCGTACCGGTACGACTCGAGTGGCTTTAGCGGCTCGAGTCTCTTATGATCCGAGCGTTCCGTACTCTGAATGAATCATTCAACATTAAATTTAGTGGTGAAAAGTGATTAATGTGTTTCGGTCCCCGTAATATAAGTGTGATAAGAATAAGTTTTTGACTTCATTTAAGTACGTTTACAGTAAGTGTATAGGATTTTTTTCATTCGAATAAATGAAAATTATTTGATATTTCGAATAAGTAACCAGTCATAAACTCGGTTCATCTAAGCAATGGAGTGCTCGAAAACATTATCACACCTTGTACACGTGATCTCTCTGACGAGGCTGCTTTTACAGAGTCACACTAAGGGACGATCGAGGTTTTATTAATTTTATTAAATAATATGCAACTAGGTAGTTCATTACCGAGAGTTCGAATGATTCGGAGTACGGAACACTCGGATCGTTCGAGGCTCGAGCCGAGCCGATACGCGAGGCGCTCGAGTCGAATATTATACAGGAGCCGCTCGGGCATCGGACTGGTCTTACTGTTCGAAGCTCCGCTCGAGCAATACAAGCAAGAACCGAGCCTGCTCGATCAAGCTCGTGCACATTCCTAGCAAGAATCAAACTAAAAAGTAAGCAGATACCCTGAGTTCCTGTATACAGTACTAAAATAAAAGTTTAGATCAAAATTGTTTCAGTATATTGTATAGTATTTTTTTAGTGCTTGTTTTGAAAAATATAAAAATATTTTGGAATTCAAAACAACAGATAAAATAAACAATGTTGAAATGTTTGGTGTAGCTATTTTGATCTTGATAAAGATTTTTTTAAATAGAGCTTGGTAATGACTGATTTTACTTTTCAATCAAGTGACGAGAACTGTTGAATAGTTAAAATCAAAATTCAAAAATTTCAAAATAAAGTTATATTATTTGTTTATGTATTCACATCAAATTAAATCTAACGACAATTCAACCAACGACTTTTATAACATTACTTTTTGAAACTATCAAATAGCAAAGTGGTTACATTGTTTCTAGTTGCCAAATCTTAACGATGATTTTTTAGTAAATTAGTACCTTAATTTAGTGTTTTGTGATAATAGAACGTAAACGTAAAAGAAGAATTCTACCAGGATTTTCATCTTGTTCCTAATCACTGATTTGTATTATTTACTAGATATGATATAGCAGTCTAAAAACCGTTCCGAAAAATTTGACCAAATAAAATGGCGAACCGGATGTTATTTAACCTAACCTCAGAATAACCTCTATTCCATGTGTCATTTTTAATTTTATGTAAACAAATATAATGTGCTATTTTTGGAAACAGTAAAATAAATACCCTTACTTTTTATTAAAGTGTAACGGAAGTCAAAAGACCCATTTGGTTCAACTGATAGGTCTTTAACTACTGTAGTTTTCAATATACTATTAAGGGATTAAGGCAGCACTGTCACCAGACAAAGGGTCCTGGATTCTAGAAGGAACATTCATTCACCAGTGACAAATAAAAATAATAAAAAATAAAATTAAAAAACAAAATTATCCCTTAAAAGCTTAGTCGAGCGGCTTTGGCAACTATTTATAGTATCTTTTAGTCCTAAGGGAATAGAAACGCCGAGGCTTTACAAATGCTCGGAATATTTCATAACTGGTTTTGGAAGGGGGAGGGGAGAATAATAATAAGTATTAAAACAGTAACAAATGTATGTTTAAAATAAGTACAAAATGACTAATAGTCTCAATAATAAATTAATCCAATTATATTTAGGGATAAAGCACTATTTGATAATATATCTAAACTTTTAATAAAGATTTATGAGAACCAGATAAACATTTTATTGAATTATAATTAACAACTAAAATAGCACTATATAATAATATAATATATAAGATAAATATAATACTCGGGACGAAAATGGAAAAATTGGCATTTATATGTAAATCGATTAAATATCTCACAACAAAACCCAAAAACATTTTTAAAATAAATTAGATATTTACCTATAGTACACGGTTTGCTGCACAAAACTTTACTGTGCACATTTTGGTGTTTCGGGACTTGGGGTCTATTCTGTAACACATCCGTTAAAATTTAGAGGCCTTTTAAAATTGAACTTTTAGCGGCCCGTTAATTTTTTCAACCAAAAATGGTATTCTGTATACACAAATTTTAGAGGCCTGTTAAAAATTATTTTAACGGATTCCCTTAAAAATGGCAGGAGAACACTTGACAACATCACATTTAAGATTTATTTGAGTTAGTTTGAAAACATAACCATACAAATCCTCAATTTTCAATTCAAAACCGTTAAAAAATTAAAAGCGAATTTTAACATCCCTTTAAAAATTATTGTTATTTGAGAACTATTTTAAAGGAATCCTTTTAAATAATTACAGAAGTAAGTTAGTGAATACAAAAATATTTTTAAAGGCCGCCAATATAAAGGAAGTGTTACAGAATAGACCCCTTAGGGTCCCGAAACGAGAGTCTCTCCTTTCGGCAAGAGTTTCGGACAACAGTCCTTACTCGAGAGCCTTTTCCCAAGACTATACCGGGTGTTCAAATTAAAGTGTTACAGGTAAATACCGCCAAAAATATGCATTTTAGAAAAAAAGTTTCAGACAAAAGTTTTATAGTTTTTTGGGGGAAACATTTTGGCTAAATTCATTTTTTATAGATGACCATAATATGGCCATATCGAGGTGGACTTTGTTTTTTTTAAATGGGAACCCGATTTTATTTTACATATTCTTAATGTACATAAAAAAATAAGAAAGTTTTGATGGAAATATTTTTTTATTCGACTTTTTGAGTAACAACTACTTGAAAATTTTGCTGGACGAAAAAAAAGTTGGCCATATTATGGTTAGCTATAAAAAACGATTTTAGCCAAAAAATTTTCCCCACAAAACTATAATACTTTCGTCTGAAACGTTTTTTTTATAATAAGCGGCATTTAGCTGTAACACTTTAATTTGAACACCCGGTATAAACCCAAGTGTCGGTTACGGTTACAGTCAAAATAGCTGACGGCTATCGTATATCTGGAGGTCGAAAAACGTTTTGACAGTCAGTGGCTGACGGCTATCTCCGTAGCTGCCAGCTATCCTAAATAGCCGGAGATTGAAAAACCGGACCTAAGACAGATCAGTGATCACCGATCAGACGTAAATAAAATACGCTACTTTTAGGGTCGGTTTTTCAATGTCCAGTCAAAGTGGCTGTTACGTAGCCGACAGCTATATTTAGCTGGCAGTCAAAGTCCCTGTTACCGATGGAATATGGATGGAAGTGTTTTTCATCACGAATTTAACTGCTAGCTACGTAGTCTAATAGTTTTTATTTATTCTTAGACAGGTTGGCATTTCTGCTAATTTGTTAAATGGTTTTTATTGGATAATTTAAATTTTCCGTTTTACATATCGTGTCTTGTGTTGATCGTCACCGACCTTCACATAAAACTTGTTCTATTTTGCTTCCATTTTTCTTTAAGATCCTGTTATTTTCTGTTTTTGGGCAATTAGTGATTTAGAAAAAAGAAAATATCTAATTAGCGGCATCAGATAGCCCTACTATTGAAATTTGCTTATCTTACAGAATGTAAAAAAAACCGGAAAATGCAATATCACGGAAACGAAATGAGAAGGTTGCAGAAAAATTTTATAATAAAATTCTTTTCATTAATATCAAAATAATTGGGCCGTTCCCTTCCAATACACGGATTAGACGGTCATCTTGGCATCGTATTAAATAATTTCTTTGTCATCGTTGCTGTGAATGTATTTAAATAAATCCATTTTTGAGAAATAATAACAATAAAAATATTAACCTCTAAATCTGACAAACAACGTCCTACGCAATACGCATGTACAATAAATAGCTGGCGGCTATCTATACGAAATTACCACTTGCAAGTGTCGGTTACGGTTACAGTCAAAATAGCTGACGGCTATCGTATAACTGGAGGTCGAAAAACGTTTTGACAGTCAGTGGCTGACGGCTATCTCCGTAGCTGCCAGCTATCCTAAATAGCCGGAGATTGAAAAACCGGACCTTAATGGCGGCCGCTCCTTGAGCGAAATGTCAAAATACACCGTTCATACGTGCCACTCGAGAGCGCTACCAGATCGATCAGGTAGCATGTGGCGCGGATGAACGTAGCCAATAACAACAGGCTCACAGGGTTGCCATATGTAAATGTCAGTTCCCACTTGTCAGCATTTTGACAGGTCGCCTAATAATGCACTTCAGCAATCCAACGTTCTGTTTCCTGATGGTCTATGGTTTGGTTTCCTGTCAGCTGTCAGATTGGGCATGCAAAAAGTTTTTGGCGTTTTTGGAATTAGGCATTCCAAACTGAATGGCTACCAATGAACTGGAGTGGGGTAGAAAGCTAATGTGCATATTGTATCAATTGAACAAGATGCGACTCGATGGGCGCAGCCATTTTTATTTCTCATCTCACTCGGGAGTATTTATAATAACCATTTTCTGTTTCACATTGTTATTGTTCAATCCACAGGCTGGTGGATCAGACAATAACAAAGTGAAATAGAAAATGGTCGTTATAAATACTCCCGAGTGAGATGAAAAATAACCTGTCTTCGCCCATAGATGCTGCGTTTGAGAATCCACATCGGATGCATCTGAGATG